CATACAAGCTTCATTTTTGTTTTTCAGAAAATTTCAAGAAAATGTAGGTGCATTTTTCATTGTAATTTTTGGTACGTTAAAAACTATGATATCTTTCTAAGTTGTGCTGAACGGTCACAACTGCAAAGTGCACAGCGTGAACCACCGGACCGATACGCTCATTATCAGTACTCTGTCATCGGACCGCGTCGGACTTGGAGAATTAAAACAGTTCCGCGCCGGTCATCGATAAGAGAAGCTCACACCTCGACGGGGTGGGTCACTCTCGTGCCAGCCGCCTCCGCGCCGAGCAGGCCAGTCCGGCAGAAAGAAACGCGGTTGTTGGGGTCCTGCTTACCTGTTGGAACTCGCGGTACTCCGCGGGCTCGGCGTCATCCTCGCCGTCGGCCTGGTCCGGGCCGGAGGTCGTGTCCTCGACGGGCTTCGCGTCCGAGGCCTTGGGGGCCGACGACGCCGAGGTCTGGACGACCACGACGGCGACCCCCGCCAGGAGGAGCAGCAGCGCCGCTCTCCTATACGGCGCCATCCTGGAGGGCGTCGTCGGGCACAACGTTGCACTTGGCCACTTACTCCCTCGGACACACACACACACACACACACACTCACACACACACTGTAATCCTGCGCCTGTGCTCGCTCTCTCGTCCCGCGTGGCGCTGCTCAGCTCGACGCTCGACACGACCCTTCCTCCACGACGCGCTCACACTCACTGCCGGCCGCCCGAGCAGATCTTACTGTTTTCTATTTCGCTGCAAGCAGATCTCATTCCGAGCACATTCTCTGTGCCCCCTCCTGAGTCCTCTGCCCCCACCGGGGCCCGCCGCCGGCCCGCCGCCGGCCCGGGTCCCACCGGCCGGGGCAGACGAGCCCCCGCCCCCCTCCCCGGCCGCCCTCCCCGCGGGCCGCGGTGCTGGCCGCCGCCAGTGGCCGGCGGGGGCCCGGGCCCGGCGCAGCTCCGACTGCAGCTCCCCGGCTACGGCCGCACTTTCTCCCACCACTGTACGACGGCGGGGAAGGCCCAGTCGTCCCCGGGGGACTGACAAGGGGACTTATAAGGCAAATGTAAATTCTCAATCGTGCCCAAACTCGGTATATTTGCTTCTCATCTATTTAGGTGACAAATGCCGACCAATTTTTTTTTTCCTGAGTGTCATATGCCGAAACTCCCTATAAAAGCGTAATTCCGAAAATTACAAATTTCTACTTTTGTATAAATATTGAGTGATATTCTGACTCAAAATGAGTGGTTTTGGGGGTAGTTTCTCTACCACTTTTCGATTTGAGACGTCCTTTCGTCATTGTTGGCCCAAATTCAGTATTTTTACCATTATTTGCTCCCCTGAAGTACCCTAGAAATCGACACTCAGGGAAAAATTCTACCGTCAGTCGTCATCAACATAGATAAGAAGCAAATACACCAAGTTTGGGCAAAGATCGGGAATTTACACTGGCCTAAGTCCCCTTGTGAGTCTACACGCACGGCCTCCAACGCGGAGAGGCGGCGTAAGGTGTGCGGCAGAGAATTGGTCCAGATTTAAAACACTTCCGCAAGTGCAGGTGGCCACACCGATCAAATACTAGCCCAGAGCAAATTTGTACCGCAGAATTTGGGTATTTTCTTGCATCTGAAACATGGATTTATATTGAATTCACTGGGAAAAAAAATATTGGTATTGTATGCTGATAAGATGCTTTATTGGCAAGCAATATACGCATAATCAGGGTGTGCTCTTTACGGTATATACAGTAACACATATACCAGATGGCTGATTCACGCAGCGCACTTCTGTAGGTATACTGTACCGCACGCACGAGTGCGGGCGGACTGGCCTATCGCCCCTGTCCACGGCGCCTTACGAGCCGAGCGAGTAAGCAACCCGCCCGCACTCGTGCATGCGGTACAGCATAACTACAGAAGTGCGCGGCGTGAATCAGCCACCTGGTAAGGCTTGATATAGTACTGACAACAGCTGATAGACCAAGACAGGTTCAACTTAACTTATACCTTAATACAACAATGTTAAACTTTGCAGCAATAATAATCAGCATACAATAAGCAGCAATAATCGTACTGGTTTCTTACAAGTACCTGAATGTTATCTATAGTGGGTAGCGAAAGCAGGGTCAACTCGAAAAAATCGTATACAAACAAGTACAAAGAAAATGGTACATAGAAATACAGAAATACATTCAAAAATATATCAAAAATACAATGAAATACAAGAAATACGCACAAAATGTACACAGAAACACGCGAGATGACCCCCCCCCTGCTTGTAACAGCAATTAGATGTTTATCACAAATAGGGTACCTCACCATTATCTGTCCTGTTGAGCGGCCGACGCCGCACACTCCGGCATTGATGTGCTGGACAAGGGTACTTCTCTAGGCAAAAAGCATGGAGTCGGTTTCTTGAGATGCCCAGCAAGGTCAGACTTTACAGCAAAACGACGAGTGCACAAATGACATCGGTAAGGTTGTTTCTCATGTGCCCTACTAAAATGTGCATCCAGATTATATTTACTGGTAAAAAGCTTGCTACATCCGCCACACTGATAAGGTCTTTCGCCCGTGTGTACAAATATGTGCCTGTCTAGGTGATTTTTTTGGATGAATGATTTCTCACATAAATGGCACGAATATGGCCTCTCACCGGTGTGTCTAAATAGATGCTTTTTCAGTCCACTAGAATCCCGAAAAGTTTTGAAGCAGAGCGAACACTTCCACTTCGACGTCACATCGTCGTGTACACGCGAGTCACTGAGAGAGCTGCTGGTGGCGCTAGGCATGGTGTGATCCTGATCGCTTCCACCACCACCAAGTGGGTCCGCCTCGTCGGCAGCGACGCCAAGTCCGTCACTGCCGCTGCCCTCCTCCCGGAGACCGCTGTTCGAGTAGTCTCCCGTGACCACCTGCCCTGGCCACTCGTCCTGGACAGGGTCGAGGTCACCGCCGTGCCCGAGACCGCTCGGCTCGGTCTTCAGCTCTGTGTCCCACCAGTCGGCCACCTCTCGTCCTGGTGGATCATCGCCGTGCTCGACACCGCACGGCTCAGCCTTGGTCTGCGGGTCCCTCCAGTCTGCTATCTCCTGTCCTGGCAGTGTCCCGGGCCAAGCACCTGCCGACAGAAAGCACCGCGTTAGAGCCCGCCGGAACCGCCTGCACCGGGAACCGCCCCACCACCGACACGACGTGCACGTGCAGGACGGGGGCGCCGCTGCTCAGCCCGGGGAGGAGCCGCGGCGGGGGCGGGGCCTGCGACAGAGAGACGTCTGA